AAGTATTTCTTATAAACTGGCACTACGTCTTAAAAATTTGGAGATTTTCATCATGGCCTTGGATTTAGCAAAGAATCCTTAGATATGACACCAAATGCATGAAAAAAGAAAGAAAAAAATAGATAAAGCTTCAGAAAAATTAAAAACTTTTATGCTTCAAAGGACTCCATCAAAAAAGAGAAAAGATAACCAACAGAATGGAATACAGTATTTGCACATCTTGTATCTCATAAGGAACTCGTATCCAAAATGTAGAAAGAACTCTTACAGCTCAATAATGGAAAAGACAACCCCATTTTAAAAATGTTTTAAAAGTTAAATTTCTAAATATTTCAAATAAAAATTAGGAGATTTTGTCTTGAAATCCAGATGCTCTGGAAACACTGAAAGAGCTGACCACTCTGGGCTTACATCCCTTCACGGCAATGACAGGAGAGCTAAGAAGGGGCTGCCTCCTCTAAATGAGCTCCCTAGTCAGCCCAGTCCCCACTACTCCCCACTGTTCCCCAGCCCAGCCTACTTTCCTCACTGAAGCCACTGAAGGTGATGATGGCTCTGAAGGTCATCATCCAATCACTCCAAGGCATAATCTCTCTAACATTAAATTCATTCTCATGCTAAGTTGGAAGTTTTTTAGATTTTAGATTTTTCTTTCTTTTCCTTCACTTTTCCTTCAATATTGCCATATTCCGAGAAAACTCTTCAAAGTCAAGGATATATCATATATTTTGCATCTCTCACAACACTCAGGACAAGACTAAGAACAAAGTCGATGCTCAGTGTTCACTGAGTGAATGTGTAAATGAGTGAGTAAATAAATGCTTCTCTGTGATTGTCTTCACTACCTGCTCTTCTTCCCCTCAATTCTAGACTTATGCCATTAAAAAGATGGCCTAAAATGAATATGGATGTGTAATTAAAAAATCAAACACTGAAGTCAATCATTGAATTTCTATTTTCATTTTCTATTAGGATGAAATTGAAATTTGAACTCTGAATAAACGCAGAACAGACCATTACATCTGACATCAAGATGAATTAGAACCCAGGGTACTGGAAAATGCTTGTGGATAAGATTAACAAACACTATCAGTGATCTTTGAGGACACTTTGAAAGATAGGATAAGTGCCAAAAAGCTGGAGATGGGAAAATGTTCTGATTTTCAAAGGGGGAAAGAAGTTTGAGTTTGCCAGTTCCAGATTGGAGAATATGGTGTCACTCTTAGGCAGGGTTCCTGAACAGGTTCATAGAGGAGCACTTGTGAACACCTCAGACAAGAAGCAATATCCAACTGGAGCCAGCACAGGGTCACCAAGAACAAGTCATATTAAATTCATTTCATTTTCTTCTTTCTGATAAGGCTCCTAGCCCAGTGGTTGGAGAAACATAGCAGATACAATATATATGATAAAATGAGAGAGTGAGCAGTGAAAAGGGCTAATTCAACCCTTGAGCTATATTAATAGAAGTATTACATACACCATAAATTAGGAAGTGATGTTGTTTCCTTTCTCTGATCACATTTAAAGAGTCTCATTTAGAACTTAGTATCACTCTTGAAGAATATTTTTGACAGTACAGTCTTCTGCAGGTCCATTTGGCAAAATCTCTTTAAAAGCATAAGGCTCTAATCCAGATTAATGGCATCTGTTGAAAAACTGAAATATCTGGCTGGGCCTACATGCTAAATGGTAACAACTGGTTGAACGCAAGTAGTGACTGTCCATTTGGACAGGACATGTGTTCTCACGCCAACCATAATCACCACCCCCCTTCTTATATTGCGCTGGCTGAGGTGGTGGGCCAACTGCCACAAATAATTTTACTTGGCCAGCTTCACTCACTTATTCTCTCTGCCAAACACTCAAAGGCCTGGAGTTTGCAACCCCGGATGCAGAAGATCCAAAGGAGAGTTAAGATGATAAAGCACCAGTGAACCACTTTGTATGAGCAAATGAGAATCACAGTTCAGGGCTGGTGATCAGAGTCTGCAAATATCCAATGGGCAGTCATGGGGAAAAAGCATCTGTCTCGTTCTATGAAGTCCCAAGGTATAGAACCAAAAGGTGGATGAGAAACATACTTAACCCAACATTAAAAAACTCCTTACAACAGCCAGAGTGGTCTAAACATGGAATATGTGGGCTTGGGAAGTGGTGAGTTCCCCATCACTGGAAATGTGCAAGCATATGGTGTCTCCTGTGTCACGGGTATATAATCAAAGGGATTCGAGGGTCTGATTAGGCAAGAGAAGGCATGAGTCTGAAATTTTTCACAATAGGAAAAAGAACTTTGAAAACAGTCCCCTTTGTTCCAGTCAGTAAATTCTTCAAAAAGAGAAAAAAGGGACTAAGCCAAGAAAGAACTCAGTATCACTTTTAAAAATCAAAAGCCGTCTCACAAAACGCACAGAGGACAAAATCCGACAGACTAGGTGGAGTGTTTGTGCCAGACTGGCCAAATGATACCCAAGGTAATTGGCGTCAGGCATTATTTTTGATGACTGGTCAAACGCTCTTCAGAGGCCAGCAACAAAGGCAAGGGAGGAAAGTAAGAGGGTAAACAATGGACTGTGATCGGGAGGCAGCCGGTCCCCACCACAAAACTGCCATCTGCTACTGACATCAATCCTTCAAGGGGCAGCTTCAGGCAAACAATGTATCGGGGACACTGGGCCTGGAAGGAAACCAACTGCCTTCACATTTCCCACCTTGTGACCTTGGGCAAGTCATTTAACATTACAAGGCCTCAGTTTCCTCATCTCTAAAACTGAGCTCCTACAAACTCTGTCTGTACTTTGTGCAAGCTAAGAGGGGCGAGGTCTGGGAGTGAGCCATGGAAACTATCGAGCCCTGAACACACATCAATAAATGATGATGATGATGAACAATTAGAATTTTGACAGAAAAGATTCCAGTTTCAGGCACAGTAGCATCCTGACCTAAATGGTGTGGATGTCAACCCTAGAGGAATAAAATGAAACTCTTTTAACCAGAATGCAAAGACATTTAGAGTTTAGAAGAGATAAGATCATTTGGACAAATTTCCTGCTGAAATGCATTACCCTGCCCTTGCTATTTAGTTGTTAAAATAAAGGCAAAAGGTAAAAAGTAAAAGAATCACTCAGAGCTACAAATGCTTAGTTGATCCTCAAGCAGAGTTCACAGTCCCAGTGGTAGCAATCCTTCAAAAATTAGGTAAGTACATTTCCTACCAAGCCAATGCTTATAAAAGCCCCAAACTGTCCCAAACTTGGCCTAACCTCTCTGATGGCATTTTCCATGGGAAACTCAGTTTTTAAGGAAAAAAATAAAAATCAGCCAGATTAGTCTTACAGAACATAAACTCCCTAAAAAGTGTGCAGGCTTTTGTGCTGAGCAGTCAGAGAATTCAGATCCCTGACCAATAAAAGGGTGGATTTCTGAATTTTCAGCAAGGCTGAAACACTGTAAGTCACTGTTTTCCACACTGAACTGAAAACTGCAGAGGAGGCACCCAGGGAAGAGCTGGGTTTTCTGCTCATTTCTCCCTGGGGTCTACAGAGAGGTGATTTGCATGCTGGGTTTGACCAGAACTAAAAGGCACAAGACGGTTGGCGAGGCTGGAAAAAAACAAAGCTCTCCCCTGATGGCTGCTCCCCTCCCAAAGTTTCCCAAGCATCTGAAGCGTGGACAGCAGCTGTGATGCGCGACCTCCCAACGCTCCTGGGGGGGCCACCCGACTTCCTGGGTCACTGAGCCTTGAGCAGTAGCGGCACCTAGAAGCGGGTGTGGAACCTCAGGTCACCATAGCATCAGATAACCAACTTGCTCAAGAGTCCTGGCGGGGGGCAGGCATCAGCACCCCCCTGAAGATGTACTCTGTCCTTACTCTTTCTACAAGCGACCACAACACACCCTATGTCACAGCAAGAAGAACCATGACCAGAAAGAAATCAGACGCCAAGAGGCCCAGGCTTCCCTTAGGGTATTACCCAAAAGAAAGGGTGAGCATGGTGGATGGTGCTTTCATGTTTTCCTTGCCAAAGCTGAGCCTAGGACTCACAAGGGTGCGAGAAGCCCCAATCTGGCCTGAATAAGGAATCTACCTGAATTTGTCTATGCAATTGTGTCTGGTTTCCGCTTTCCCCTTGCTAGTGTGGATTTAGGGAGCGGCTTCTGAGAGGAGTGTGCACCCCATGAGTGGCACTAAAGCTGGAACGAGCAGCCAGAGGTCACCTCAGCTTCCTGGCAGGCTTTCCCTGACACTACGGAAGCCAGGCAGCACCTACCAGCCAGCACACTGAACCGCTGGCTTTCAATGAAGGCTGATGACCCTAAACACTAGTGCATGGATGGTGACGGGGGCTGCACACTGTGAGACAATACATTTTCTGCACTGAGCTCCCTCTTTATGCCTAAATGCCTGCATTAGTTTGGATCAATATGCTCCATAACAGTTAATCCATGGCAACCCAGGCCAGCTGAGAGTCACCGACAAAGAAGTGCAGCCCAGGGATGCTGCTTCCCACAGTATATGCATGTGAATTCCAGACCAGAGAAAGGGGCAGAGGCAAAGCAACGACAAAAAACAGAAAGGAGAAAGAGAGGGGGAAAAAAAGCAGATCATAAAAAAACATACATCATATCATGGGGCTTTTCGCATGGCGGGGGGAGGAGGTAGTGACTGTCTTTGGCAGTGACTGTCAAAATGGCCTGAGAGTAACATGTCACGGCCGAGATGACGGAGTATCTGAGACACTCCTAAAGCCGGGTGTAGGATCCTCCTCACACACCTGCAATGCAGTGATCGCCGCCCGTTCTACAATCCGTACTCCCAGCACCAGCGCTCTCTGCAGTCGAAACCAGTCCGGACTTGTGCAGCTGCCACTGTTCCTCCTCACAATAAGATTATTGATGCATAACAACATTTCATGATGGCAGGGAGGGAAAGGGGGAAAAAAGCCAAAGCAAGAGAAAGAAAGGGGAGGGGAGGCATGACTCCCCAGCCCGAATCTCACCTTTTATTTGGGCTTCATATTCGGCAATGATCTCTTTGTCTTTCTTGAACTTAGTTTGAGATGACATCTTCCAATGTGGCCAAAGGCACTGACAGGCTGTTGGATTTATTGCTCCTTTTCTTCCCAAATCCTCGCTCCAACCCTAGTAATCACACGGCTCTGGTCGATTTCACAGGTGTAGGGGGCTAATCTCTTTCACTCAGCTGCAGAGCCAGCGGAAAAATCCCTCTCGTTCTCAAAGGAAATTTCTCTTTACTTGGCGAGAAAAATGTCTCAAGTAGCTCGGTCTGGTCAACTCCTCTTGCAGAAGAACCACCACCCTAGGGGCACGGTAACCTGCCCAAGATTTTCAAGATTTTTCTTCCAAAAAAAATAATAACCAAGAGCACTCACTCACACACTCTCACACACACGCAGACACACACATACAGACACACACTCACGCGTGCACTGGCACACTCATCCAGCCATGCACACACACAGTCGTGATGCACACTCACACACCCTCACACCCGCTCACCCTCTCACACACACTCACACACACACACACATACATCCACAAGAGGCGCGGCGCCTCCTTGGTCCTGCAGTCAGCCGCCGGCTGTTTTTCCAAGGTTCTGTTAAAGAGATGGTCAGGTTGCCAAAGGGCCGGTCATCTCGCATCCTCCCTCCCTTCGGCGCCTCTGGTCCGATATACAGTGAGGCTCAAAGCCAGGAGGGCGAGGTGGAAGTTCTCCTGCTGCAAGGCTTAAGCTCCGGTGAAGCGGAGGCTGGACTGCACGCCCTGCAGGGCTGGCCGAGCGCTCCCCCACCGCTCTCGTCACAAGCTCCACCTCCCGGATTTTATAACAACTGACACATTGTAGCCTACAGGGGAGCAGAACTCACTGCAAGCAAAAAGAGGAAGAACGGCTCACAAAAGGGAAGGAGGCAGGAAAAAGAACTGGGCTGGGGAGGCCTGAGAGGCCCCTGCAGACTCCTACCATTGGCAGTTAGGTTAGGAATTCTTTCTCCAAAAACTCCAAAAGGTCCACCTTTTCTTTGCAACATGCAATTTAATTCAATTTCTCAAGCAACGGCTATGTGACAGTTTGTCACTCTGCTGGATTGTCTAGCGGAGGAGAGGGGCTGATCCATGTAGGCAAGCTCATTAATATTTGTGGAGCATTATGGGGCGGCAAGGACAATGCCAAGTGTCTCAGATATGGAGTTTCGCAAAGCCGTTGGGAGCAGGCTTGCTGGAAACTCAGCCACCTCAGGACGCGGGTTTAGCAGGACGCAGGGCAAATCAATAACTCATTGAGCCTCAGTTTCCTCACCAGTAAAATGGTTCTCTTTGGAGGATTTTTTTCATTCTTTCTTTCAACATATATTTCAGTTTAGTATAGGTCAGGCATCGTTTTGGGTATGGGGACATGGCAACGATCAAACTAAGCAAAAAAAAAAGATTCCCCACCTCTGGAGTGCCACAGTCTCCACATCACCCAATTCTGGGAAGTCAACACTAGTCATGGTAATAATCTCAGTAAAATCAGCCCCAAGCAGAACTCAGAATGCGTCATGAATGGTGCCTTCTGGAATTGTGCAAGACAAGAGGCCCTAAGAGGGGAAGATGAAAGATAAACAAAATGAGAAATTTATATATGACAGAAGATGATAAGTGCTGTGAGGAAAAAATATTGCAGGGTAGGGGCCTTCAGGAATGAGGGAGCTCTTGGGGGCTCAAGTAAGAATGTGAAGCTAAACTTAGCACGGGGCATGGTAATAAGCACTCAGTAAACCCCTCAACAAATCCACAACATAGTGCACGTGAAGGAACAGGCACAGATATGGGAGGTGACTTGCCCAAAGTCACCAGCATTCACTCCTCTGATGTATGACCCCAGATTCTGCCCATACAGATATGCAAAATTTGCTGCATTCTACTGGAAATTAAACCCGTTTCACATGCACTCAAGGCAGAATAAGATCTGTTCCGTAAAAATGAAATCAAGCACTACAGGGTTGCTGCCCCTGGAATTTCACAAGTTAAGAAAGTCATTAATATGTTCAGTTCAGTTGCTCAGTCGTGTCCGACTCTTTGCGACCCCATGGACTGCATGCAGCATGCCAGGCTTCCCTGTCCATCACCAACTCCCGGAGCTTGCTCAAACTCATGTCCAAGAGTCGGTGATGCCATCCAACCATCTCATCTTCTGTCGTCCCCTTCTCTTCCCGCCTTCAATCTTTCCCAGCATCACAGTCTTTTCCAGTGAGTAGATTTTTCCCTTCAGGTGGCCAAAGTACTGGAGCTTCAGCTTTAGCATTAGTCCTTCCAATGAATATTCAGGACTGATTTCCTTTAGGATTGACTGGTTTGATCTTGCAGACCAAGGGACTCTCAACAGTCTTCTCCAACATCACAGTTCAAAAGCATCAATTATTCAGCGCTCAGCTTTCTTTATGGTCCAGCTCTTACATCCATACATGACTACTGGAAAAACCATAGTTCTGACTAGACAGACCTTTTTCAGCAAAGTAATGTCTCTGCTTTTTAATAACATGCATTGTCCCCCAAATTTGGTATTTTCACAAATTTGGTATTTTCACAAATTTCTCAAAATAATCTGCAATTTGCCTTTTTCTGAGTGCATAATGAATAATTTGATTTGGGTGCAGAAATGAATAGGTTATCCATGCAAGTCTATTGAGGCTTCCTAGACAAAGTGGTGGTTATAGTGAGTCTCCTCAGGTCAGCATGGGGAGGGGAAGGGCATTCCTACGGTGCAAACAGTATGAGCATGGTTGGGAACACACGGAATCTGCTTGGAAAAAGCAAGAGAGAAGTCCAGCTAGTGAATCACGGGGTTTACTATAGCTTCGTGCCCAGAGACAAGAGATTACAGGTTTCACGAGTAGATGCACTGGCCCACAGTCATTGCATCATCCCCTGCCTTTCCCTGCCCATAGCACATTCAGGTCCTCTACAGTGACCCCCGCTTTAAAACGTGAAAGCCACACTTGTTACCTGAGACAGATGTGCTCTGAGATTAGCACCCCTGCCTCAAGCCTAGACTCTCAAAGGAAAATGGGAGCTATTAACATGCATTTAGGGATGTGACAAACTGGATTCCCTACCTGCCTCCGTGGTTCCAGCTGACGGGGGCCTTAAGTAGCTTCTGTGTCTTCACTGAGTCTCAGTTTCCTCATTTGTAAAATGGTGGGGATCTCACTCTTTGCACAGGATCCAACAGGAAATTTTAAGTGCCTGGAACATAGCAGAGGTCCATGGAGTATTACTTTTTAACATCCAACCATTCTGGGTCTAGGACCAGAGGTGGGGCTCCAGAGAAGCCTGGGATGGGTGCAGAAAGAGAGGAAGAAGAGAAAGGTTGTGCCCCCTGTGAATACATCAACACATACCATGAATCCACAGCACCCAAAATCTTTCTTCCCCAAGAAGAGGTGGTGTGACCTGGGCAGGCCCCTTGCACAGTGCCCTTGCTCTTTTCCTTCCAGTCCTCTGCAGTTCACCCCAGTCTCCCAGCTGGCCTCTGTGACCAAAAGAAGGGACCATTCCCTTCCATGTGACCTCTTCTTCCTCGATTTTGAGAACCAACTGCCATTCCTGGTGATTATCCTTCACATGGTATTAACGGAAACCAGACTGCTGCAAAAATAAATGTCGTAGGTGGCAGGTTCAGGGGCTCTGCCACGTGATTTGATCTGTGCCACCCCTCCTCCAAAGATGGGAATACCCCTTGGAGGGTATACTTTACTTTCCTCAGGCTCATTTCCTGGATTCTTTTAGATATTCCTGAATTATACTAATGTTTAATATTTATTGAGCCCTCATTCCATACAGTCACTGGGCCAAGTATTCTACAGAAATGTTATCAATGACACAGATTTTATCAGTGGGTCAGGAGCTATAATCATCCTTGTTTCACAGATGGGCAAACGGGGGGACAGAGCAGTGCAGCAATTTGTCCAAGATCACACAACTAGCTAATAACTGAATCACTTGCAAGCCCACATCTGGCCACATCAGAGCCCAAGGATTCAACCAGTAGACTATCATATCCCAGAACAATAAGCGCAGGAATAACTGGTGTCAAGTAGTGACATTTTTCTTCAATCAACACTGTGTTCAACCTGAAGTTTGCCACTAAAAAAAAAAAAAAAATGTAGTTTAAAATATAAGGAAACCATGTCATAAACGGCCATTGATGAGGCTTAAATTACAATTACAGTTGAATAACACAAAACCCACTAAACTGGTTTCTTTTCCTGGTAGGGGAAAAAAAAGACTCTACTTGGAGGAAGAATGACCAGAATAACTTTTGGTTTAAGGCATTTTTATTTTTCTGGTCGAATATGAAACACTCACTCCCAAAATGACTAATAAGAGTTGATATCTTTTGTGACATTCTCCAAAGCTACCAACTAATGCATCCTTGGCTGACTTGGTGAATAATTGAATAATNTAAACTGGTTTCTTTTCCTGGTAGGGGAAAAAAAAGACTCTACTTGGAGGAAGAATGACCAGAATAACTTTTGGTTTAAGGCATTTTTATTTTTCTGGTCGAATATGAAACACTCACTCCCAAAATGACTAATAAGAGTTGATATCTTTTGTGACATTCTCCAAAGCTACCAACTAATGCATCCTTGGCTGACTTGGTGAATAATTGAATAATTCTGCCCTTCAATCTCTGCTCTGGAAAATGAAAGCAACCACAGAACTCAGCTAGTTAGTGCCAGAATTGGATACAATTAATAGTGATGATGACAACATGTCTTGTGTGTATATACTGCTTTATATTTTAGAAAGCCTTTTCATATCGTTTCTCTTATTTGGTCCTCACAATAACCCCAGGGTAGGGTGGTGGTGGGGGGGCAAGTGCGGCTGTTTTTAATCCTTGTTTCACTGATATGAGTAGATAAGTGGCAGTTTTAATGGAAGAATTATTTTATAACCTCAAGTATAATAACATTCCTGTGTCACAAGACCCATAGCCATAAAAGCCTGACAGATTCAACTACAAAGCAACTTTTTCAAAATTCTGCCTGGCCAAAACCATCATAAACAAAGTCAAAGACAAACTGCAAACTGAGAAACAATAATTCCAATACCTATCATAGACCAAGGACTCATTTTCCTAATATACAATTCAAGCAAATATTTGCACATGAATGTTCCAGCAGCACTTTTCACAACAGCCAAAAGGTGGAAATAATCCAAATGTCCACCAAGAGATGAATAGATAAATAAAATATGTTTTTTCCATATAATGGAATATCATTCAGCTATAAAAAGGAATGAAACACTGATGATGCTACAATATGGATGGCTCTTTGACACATTATGCTAAGTGAAAGAAGGCAGACACAAAAGGTCATATATTGTATTAGTCCATTTATATGAGATATCCAGAATAAATAAACCCATAGAGATAGAAGACAGATTAATGGTTTCCAAGGACTGAGGGAAATGGGGAATGGGGAGGAACTGCTTAACAGATCCAATTTGGTGGTGATGAAAATTCTTTGGAACTAGATATAAATGATGGTTGCACAACACTGTAAATGTACTAAATGCCACCGAATTGCACACTTGAAAATGGTTAATTTTATATTCTATATATTTCAGTTCAGTAAAAAAAAAACAAAAACAAAAAAAGATACCAAAAGAAGCTCCTTCAAATCTATGAGAAAAACACCAACAGTCTGTTAGAAAAATCAAAATGAAATGCTAATCCACCTCATTCACAATGAAATCAGGTATGGCTGGGTCCAGGTGCTCTAGC